GCCAGGAGAGTGAAAGCAACCAACAGGCCAGGGCTCTTTTCTTGGAGGATACTTGACTAGAATTCCAAGTGCAATCTTGCCCTGCTCTGTCAGCCTTCCATTCTCTCCCAAACCATCAGAAGGCATTCCTAGCATGTTAACCCCAATATTTTTCTGCACTTAAAGGCCATAAAAAAAAAACACATTTTCTGTATCTCCTTCACCCAAAGTCAGTACTTCTGAGAACCTCCTTCATCCACCCTTCATTCCCTCCATCAGAGAGAAAATGTTCCTGGCTGACAGCACACACCAACATACACATGCAGCATTTGTTTGCTACACACCACTAGCCTGCTATCGCATAATCAGGGCCCGAAATTCCCTTACTGTCTTTCCCTCTGACATTATAGGGCCAAAAAATAATTAAGGAAAAGTTCTGATAACAGACTGTTATGCTGCTGCAGGTAAAAATCATAGTCTTTCTCCCTGAGGCCTTCTCCATATAATTCATCTACAACTGCTCTTTCAAAAGGTTCTGGAGGCAGAGCTTTCATATTATCTTCAGTTTCCAGATATAAGTGGTCATCACTGCTCATGCAGTCCCCTGCAGCTGTGTCCCTAACTGCAGTCATGACCCACTGCACATTCCACACTCCCAGGTCCAACAGCATCCCACGTTTGTGATTCTTTAACAAGAGTTAAATCATTCTAATCTGTATTACGTTATGTGTACATCTGTCATATTTCCTCCAACAAACTATAAAGTCATATGAGGCCCTAAGTGATGTTACTCATCTCAAATGATATTCATTTATTTATTCAAAACCTGTTTCATGAATATATGATATGAAACAGGCACTATAGTAGTACTTAAAAGAGATTATTCAGCCCATTGTCTTCAACTTATTTAAAATCCTCTAGAGGTTGATGGGAGGCAGCCTAGGTTACAGCCTCATAAATAGAAAATTGTAACACATAAAACCATTTATATAATATAATTATAGCATATATTATATTATTATACAATATTATATTACATTACAGTTTCACAGGCACAAAATAACATGAGTTCACATGGAAAGGACTCCTGATACACTATTGAACAGGCCAAGGCTGATGCCAAGTTAGGCCTACGCTGTGGTGGCACTTAGAGAGTACAGACTATAAGTAATCTAGCATGGATCAGTGGCACAAGAATAACACAGGAACCAGGTCATCCATGGGCTGCCAAGCCAGGTCAGCTAGTGTTTGACATTTCTCTCCAAGGGGTTTGGCTATTCAAACAGGATGACAACAGTGGCAGGTGTACTCTGATCACACTAATCAGAGTATAACAGTAACTCAAAATGTCTGATGGACACATGAATAGTTAAGTGATATCAGTATAATAAAAATATTTCAGAAATTCAGAAAAATTGAGAAATACCTGAATCAGTGTTGATTATGGCATCCCAGAACTATTTATTGGCAGACTTTAGTAGGAGATTGTTAAAATGCATGGTTTGGTAGGGAAAAGAACAACACTCCAGTCACAGGCAAAAAGAGTCAAGAAAGATAATGCCCTAAGTAACAGGTCAGCAAAAATGCTCTTGGAACAAATTCACACTAGAACCAACACTTGTGTTGATGGGTACTAGGTCAGGACAGGCAGACTGGCACAGGAACAGCAGCACTCAGAATGCTAGGCTCACGGTTTAGACTTTACCAGTGCAGAGACAGTTTATACAGTTTTTGAAAAAAGAAGAAGAACACTTGGGAACTGGCATTGTAGTGCAGTGGGTAAAGCCACCATTTATTATGCCAACATCCCATATGGGTACCAGTTTTAGTTCCATGTGATCATCTTCTGATCCAGCCCCCGACCAATAGCCTGAGAAAGACAGTAGAAGACAGCCCAAGTGTTTGAAGTCACTGTCACCAGCATGGGAGAGCAGCATGAATCTCCTGGCTTCAGCCTTGCTCAGCCTTGCTTATTGAAACCATCTGGGGAGTTGGCCACCATTTGAAAGATCTCTCTCTCTCTCTCACTTCTCTCTCTCTCTCTCTCCCCCTCCTCCTCTCCTTTTCCCTTCCCTCCTCTCCTTCACTTTTTCCTTCCTTCCCTCCCTCGCACTTTCTCTTTGTGGCTCTTTCTAATAAATAAAATAAACTGTCAGAGAAAAAGAAAGAAATGTATTGCTTTAGTAAGACTGAGGATAAATTGGGAAAGCTTTAAAACAGGGCTTGGTCAAATAATAGGAATGTGTAAGAAAAAAAAAAACGTATAACAGAGGTGAACTGTAAGATAGTTTTCAAAAGAATTAGGAAGAAAGACAAGCAAAGATTGAAGGTTAAGTATCAGCCTGAGATAGACTGCTTCATACTGGAACCTACCATACAGTCACACAGAGCCAGCATCCCCCAAACATTCCTTCAAGCCTGTTTGGATGGCTTAGTGAGGTCATGTGGAGATTGTGGCTTTTTTCCCCCTTCATCACGATGCTTACCCAATGTCTTATCCTAAGAAGCTGGAAAGAAGGTGTTAAAAAAGAGGACCTGAAGAGAAGGGTACACTTGGAGAGAAAAAGAACATATGGAAAAGCTAGAGACAGCCACAGGAACGTACCTAAACTCCCTAGATTACCAACCGAGAGGTAGGTAGTCAGATATTGAATGTTCCCCTCCATATTTCAAAACATCTCTTGAATAGATCCTACCTCTACACACTCAGACAGCCACTTGGCAAAAGGGCTCCCTTTTCTCTCATTTGGGTCACCTGTTCTACCTCTTTGTACCCTTACCAGCCACAGGAACAAAAGTACAAATTATGCTCTTGTCTCTAGATTGAACTTGGGTTTTTTGGTTTCCCAAAGCAACAGGTTAATTTAATAATACTTAAGGATGCCTAACAAATATATAAGAATATTTTGCAAAACTATCAAACTTCAAAAGGTGAGTAGTCTGCTCCTGTGAGAAGCAAACCTTACAAATTGCACAGCCCTCATGCAAAAGAACAATGTCATTTTACTGGTAGATTACTGAAATGTGCTTTGAATTTCTAGCCCACTGTAGCCAAACATATTGTCATAACCTTTTTCAATAACAGAAAAATCAGGTTTCTCACAATAGACCACTGTCCATTCTAGTCTGTTAGCAGATGAGGAAACTGAAGGCTTATTAAGGTTTGGAGACATTAATACTTCAAACTGGATGATGTCATGCTGAACCATACATGAATGCTTCAGTTCAAATCCATCAGTTACCAGCAAATTAAAAGGTTCTTCTGAATTGGCTTTTCATTTGTCTCCATTGAACCAGTGATTGCTGTTTTCATTAGGACATTTTAGAACATCAAACAGGTGTTTATTAAGCCTGATTATGTGGTAAGGTTTTTTTTTTTTTTTGGCTTCCTTTTGTTTCTAAGATAATTATGGGCTTCTTCCTGTCTCTTTTTGATGCTCACAAAGGCCATCATGAGGGTAGTTAAGTATGTAAACCTAAGAATGAGACACAAGTATCAACATACATATAATTTCCTATTGCAACACCCTACCCACTAATACAGAATCACATTGCTAACAAACATAACTGATTCTCTAAATAATGTAGGCATCTTCCCTATTCTCTTTGCATGGCATCATGGGAGTCTTCTGTCCTTTCAAAATTCAGCAACACCTCCAGACTGCAAGATAAGGTGATCATATAAGTCAAAACAGTGTGTGGGCTACAGATATGCAGCTCCAAGTTCCTCTGCACTTTTCCAAGCACATGACCATGCTTACCCAGAAATACTGGAGTCAGCTCAGCTACTTCCCCTACTTGAAAAGAAAAGAGTGCAACTCCCAGGAAATACTTGGAACATTAATTGAATTACTTTCTAAATTATCAATATAATCTATGGACACTGTTGTTGTTGTTTTTTTTTCAGTATAGATAGTCTTCCTCAGACATTAAACCAACTATAATACCATGGTTAGGACCAGAAGTCCATTTTACTGTAGAACATGAGCATAAGAGGACCCTTCTAGGTCAAAGCAAGATCACCTCTGATGTCCCGTGGCCTCAAACAGTTCTGCTTCTTCCAGACTACTGCAGATTTTAATTGACAGAAGCTATAAACCTACCTACAGTGGGAAAAAAAAATCAAAGCAGCGAGTTGGCTGAGTCTCTAAAGAGGAGTGGGTGATTTATGAAGGATGACGAAACCACGCTTTGTCTACTTCACCACTTCAAGAAATAGCCATCACAGTGCATGGTGCAGAAAATGAAGATTCCCTACGTTTACCAATAAATCACTATGTTTACCAAGAGAGGCATCTGTCATTGCTCCTACGGAGTCTGAGAACACCCTCGAGTCCAAGATACTGGCAAATGCTTAGATAATACTACAGGTGTGTACTGAATATATAAATATTATATGTCTTAGATAATAAATAGACTTAAAAACTTGACCTGACAGGTGACCAGAAACTAACTGGCAAAACTCAGTTTTCCACCAACTGGATCACCAAATTGTGTTCATGGGTCAAAGCTACCTTAGTTTTCCCATCCTGACGAGAAGCCCTTCAGTTGCAAACATGCCAAGTAACATAGACAGGAGCCAGGACTACAGCGTTTCTTGTTTCCCGGTAGCAGTGGTTGTCCACCGGGTAGCTGCTAACCAGAACAGGTGCGATTCCTTCTTTCTTGCTGACGTTGTAGAAAGTCTGGAAGCCGCTATCTTTCAGGTAAGGTCGAAGCACACGGCTCCTATCTAAAAAGTGTTGGTTACCGTGGCTTCCCGCCCTTTACAACTTCATAACTTTCCCTGTAACAATCTTACAAGCCTCTAACCTCTCTGCTCATTAAGCATTAAAGTCTACTCCTAGTAGGAAAACCCTTAACTAGTCCTTTCACCCTGTTTCACTAGCCTGGGCTGGGAAATAAAGCTGCTGCCCGGGAACTTGAAAAATCTGGCAAAAGTTCCTTCTGCACTCAGCCCCAACAGCAGCGGCCGCCAAACAAGATGAACACCCACAGAGCAGGAGGGCCACCCGCCATACCTGGTTGAAGTGCAGCTGGCTGGACTCCGGGGCTCCCTCGCCGGGGGCGGCTCCTAGCTGCTCCAGCAGGCGCCGGAGCTGCGCCGCTGACAGGCTCCGATTGGTGCCGAACAAGCTCAGCACATCCTCGCTGAAGGCCAGCCCGGGCCCCTCCGCCACCCCTCCGAGGCCAGTGGCCGCCAGCAGCAAGAGCCCAGCTACTGCCTGGCCGGGAGCCATCCTGGGCAGCGCTGCCCCCCGAGTTCCCACTTGGGGCTGGCGCGCACTGGGACGCGCGCGGGCGCAGCGGTGACCGTGCCCAAGGGCACACGGGTCAGGTGGTGCGGGTCCCAGTCAGCGGTGGCGCGGGGTGCCCCTGATTCTCTGCCGCCTTCCACACAACAGCAGCCAGCATTGAAGTGACAGCGCAGCAGGGGGGAGTGATAGGCAGGGTGGGGGGCCACCCCCACGTGGCCTCCTGGAGAACCTGAGATAAGGGGGACAAAAGGGGACAGAGATAAAGGCCACTGGGCCACCAGCTGGCCAGCCCCAGGGGTGCTATGTGGCCGGAGACTTCGGACGGTGGACCAGGCAAGAGGCCAGCCGCCCAAGAGCCTTTTGCAAACGCCCCAGGGTTTGTGTACGGTGTGGTGACACACACTCCTCCCGATAGGAAGCCACAAGACTAGTAGCTGCTTAGAAAGAACTAAAACCACACTAACTGGAGTTCCCCAGCGCCCCTTCCTGTCTCCAGGTTGTGTTCCTGCGGCAGCAAAGTCAGAAGCCGGTAAACGCGCAGCCCCCAAACAGGTGCAGCCAGGAGCCCCTCCAGAGTTCCCGGAGTTTGAGCGTCTGGCTGGGACCTGCCCCTATCTGCCTGGATCTTTTCTCTGGGATTGGGAAGCGCCATCAAGGCTGTTTTAGTCTCACCTCTCCTGGTTCTGTCTCTCTCTGTCCGGTCTTCTCTCTATATAAACCTGAGACGCGGTCTCTGGGATCAGTCGCTCTTTCTCCCTCTCTTCCGCTCCCCACCCCCTCTCTCTTTCTCTAGCTCGCTTTCTCCCCAGAGCCTTCCTCTGGCTCTTCTCCTTTATCTCTAGCAGGTCGGCAGTGCAACTCCTGAGTCCGGCCCCCAGCTCTCTGCAGATAAGGGGAGGAGGGCGGGACCCGCCTCCACAGCACGTGGGGACTCAGTCCCCCAGCCTGGACTCCAACATGCTGCCTGGCCTGCCCCCTTCCCAGCCTCCGCGGTGCCGGCTCCCCAGCGAGGGTTACCTTCATGTTGGGGTCCCTAGCCCCCTTTGTGATCTCCGTGAGGACCACCTCCTCGTCATCTCGCTGAAACGAGCTTCCTGTAATGGAGTTTGGCGCTGGTTGCATTATCTGAGAGATTAAAAGGAACTGCTTTTTTAGTCTCACTTCTTAAAATCAGAAAGGAGGAAACCAAATCTGTGGCGTGGGGGCCAGCCAGCTGAGCCAGCAATGCCCAGGCAGGCTCTTCCTGACGCCTCTCGGGATATCCGCTGATCAAAAGCAGTGTTTATTTGTTCGGATGAGGGTTCAAGAAAAGCTGACTTAGGTGTGAGGTCAACAGGTTTGTGTAATGTGAATGCAGTGTTTAGGGACAAAGGTCGTGTCTGGTAGATAAAATTGTCCAGGAGGAGAAAAAAAAAAAAGGAACCGCACTCCACAGTTGGATAAGGGCGATTCGAATTCCTAGTTCTATTCTTGACTCCCGTGGAGAGAGTACACAGTGTTTTCCTAAAGCAGCACATTTAAGACACTCCCTCCAGAAAAAGGTGAGGAGAGGGGAAGGCAGAAATCATCTCCACTTCCCATGAGGAATTTAGAAACAAGAAAAAGAATGGGAGGGAAGATTCTAGATGGACACAACAGAGAAGGAAGAATGGAGAGGATGACATGGAGGGAAAAAAAGAATTGATGGAGATCAGGCAGTTGCAGAGGAAAGTCATCAAGTAAATGTATTAATGACTTTAGTAGCCACTATTCTCATTGTCAGAAGAAAGAGTTGCAAATATAAAAAGGGAGAAAAATAGAATGAACTAACTCAATGATGTTGGCTTGGAATAAGAGACATCAGTATTAATGAATGGTTTGCAGGACACAGATAGATGCAAATATCAACTAATTCTTGGCTGTGTCAGAAGCCAGGACTGAGATGACCACCACCACCCCAACAGCAATGAGTGTGAACAGGACACAGAATTTAGCTTAGGAAGACTGTCCCTCACGGAATGGAGCCAGGACTCCTTGAAACACGGAGGATTTCAGGACTTGGGAGGCAAAGATTAAGACAAACCGGAAGTATCTTTTTATGCCTGAAAACCAGAAAATAGACAAAGAATGTAGGAAATACACATTCAATTATTTTGAAATAATAAAGCACCTGGTCAGCAAATTATGTCCTCTCACAGGGCTCAGGGAGAGAAATGATCGTTTTACTGTGCTGGCAACTTTTGTTTAAGATATGCCACCATGCCATATGGGAGCACCAGTTCTAGTCCTAGTTGCTACATTTCTGATTCAGTTCTGAAAAATTGCATGAGAAGGCAGCAGAGAATAAGCCAAGAACTCGGGCCCTTAACACACAAATAAGAGATCCAAATGAAGTTACTGGCTCCTGGCTGTGGCCTGGCCAAGCCCCAGCTGTCATGGGTATTTGCACAGTAAACCACCACTAGTTGATTGTACTTTTCTCTCTCTGCTCTTTAGAAACATTTTGTAGTGAGAGAAAAAAAAATTTTAACCTTGAGTACTTAGAAACAACAAAGAAAAGCCATGCAATCAATTGCACTGAAAATTAGAATGTTGCTAAAATACCAACTCAATAATTTTGCAGCCAAAGTAATTTAATCTTGTATTTTTTTTTCAGCAGTTGCATTGTACTCCATGCTGTCTGGAAATGCATGCATGGAAAACTGTATCTTGTTTTGTCTTTAAAAAGCTTGCAGTAACAGGTTAAAAAGAAGTGAGGGGGCTGTCCCCACAGCAGCTGTGGAGGTTCCAGGCAGAGAGGCAGGAGCATCTGAAACTTCAGGTAAAATGAGCAAATAATTCACAGCGCACATAACCCTTGTGCTGAAGGAAAAGTAAAACTTTGACAGAAAGCAAGAAATGGATACACATTCCAGGAAGAAAAAATGCAAAGTAAAGGTCCTACGAGAGCTACAAGAAATTTCTTGGTACTGGAGACCTTGGGGCACAAAGGCAGGACCTGTCCAAACTGAGGCGGGGCGGGGTGGAGGGCTGGAGGGCGGAGGGAGTCCTTAATTCTTACTAGATCAAAGAGCCTTCATCAGGTGTTTGGCCTGGTGGGTAACACACCTGTTAAGACACATGCATTCTCCATCTACCTGGGTTCTATGCCTGGCTCCAACTCTTGACCCCAACTTTTTACTAAGGCAAATAAGGGAGGCAGTGATGATGGCTCAAGTACTTGGGACCCTGCTATATACTTGAAGACTAAGATGGAGTTCCTGGCTTCCAGCGTACAACTCTGGATGTTGCAGGCATTTGGGGAGTGAACCAGCAAATGAGAAGATAGGAGCTGTTCGTATCTCTCCCTCCCTCCCTCTCTCTCTCTCCATCTTTTCCTCTGCCCCCTCTCTCTCCCTTTTACTTTCAAAGAAAGAAAATTTATTTTCAAAAAGACTTTATGCGTTAATGCTCCAAAATAATATTTATGATTAACTACACTATTTTTTAAAAGTCTCATAGAATTTAAACCCCCTTTTTCCATATTACAAGTATCAAATAATATTCATTCTTCATTAGTAGCAATATGTCACTCTTAAACCTATCAAACAAGAGCAAGATAATGATTCTATCTAGATCAAGTATGCTTATTCAGTCACCAGTGCCAGAGATAATACATAGGTAAAAATCAGATTTCTGCAAGGCTTTTCTTTTTTTTTTTTTAAAGATTTATTTTTATTATTTTTTTTTTCATTGGAAAGGCGGATATACAGAGAGGAGAGACAGAGAGGAAGATCTTCCATCCGATGATTCACTCCCCAAGTGAGCGCAATGGCCGATGCTATGCCAATCCGAAGCCAGGAGACTCTGTGGGTCTCCCACGCGGGTGCAGGTTCCCAAAGCTTTGGGCTGTCCTCGACTGCTTTCCCAGGCCACAGGCAGGGAGCTGGAAGGGAAGCGGGGCTGCTGGGGATTAGAACCGGCGCCCATATGGGATCCCGGGCGTGCAAGGCGAGGACCTTTAACCACTTGCGCCACCGCGCCGGGCCCTGCAAGGCTTTTCTGAACATAAGTCTTAGTGTATAAAATGTGGATTAAAGTAATATTTGCAGGTCTAGCACGGTAACATAGTGGCTAAAGTCCTCTCCTTGTATACACCAGGATCCTAAATGGGTGTCAGTTCATGTCCTGGCAACCCTGCTTCCCTTCCAGCTCCTAGCTTATAGCCTGGGAAAGCAGTTGGGGATGGCCCAAAGCCTTGGGACCCTGCACCCACATGGGAAACCTGGAGGAGGTTCTTGACTCCTGGCTTCGGATATGTGCAGCTCTGGCCCTTGCAGACGCTTGGGGAGTGAATCATTGGATGGAAGATCTTTGTCTCTGTCTCACCTCCTCTCTGTATATCTAATTTTCCAGCAAAAACATAAATGTTTAAAAGTAATACATAGTGCCCAGCGCAGTGACCTAGCAGCTAAAGTCCTCACCTTTCATATGCCAGGATCCCATGTAGCTGCCAGTTCTAATCCCAGTGGCCCTGCTTCCCATCCAGCTCCCTGTTTGTGTCCTAAAAAAGCAGTCGAGGATGGCACAAAGCCTTGGGACCCTGTACCTGCATGGGAGACCGAGAAGAGGCTCTGGGCTCCTAGCTTCGGATTGGCTCAGCTCTAGCCATTGTGGCTGTTTGGTGATTGAATCATCTCTGTCTCTCTTGCTCTCCGTATATCTGACTTTCCAATTAAAAAATCCTTTTAAAAATATAAATATAAATGAATAAATAATATTTGTTTTTATAAATATCTATTCATTTTACACAATTTGGTATCTGAAAAGCAGGTAAGATAAAGTATGGGGAGCCTTTTAGCATCCACAAAACAGAATGTGGAAATTATTACAAGCTGATAGGGTAATAGGTCCTGGTGATTGACCTACCAAATTGTCAATGGGAAATGGGTAAGAATTAAGAATATTGTAGAACAAAGACTTCTGTATACCCAAAGCAATTCCTGAGGCTTTCTTCTTAGAAAATTAAAGCACTAATCAAAAATGGAAAGATTACAGATAATATCAAACCTAATATTGTCCAACTTGGGCAAAAAGAAGAAAGCCCAGGGAAGTAACAGTAAAATAACACATTTAAACCCATAACTGTCTTTTTCATTTTATCATCACAAAAGAAACACTGGTAATGTGTCCAGGATAGTGTATGCCGAGTATATCTCATCTGCAATGTGTGAGACCAAGGGCATTTCAAATTTTAGATTGCAAAGGGTG